GTGTATTTGTGTGCAATGTAACCTGAAAAAAAAATATAAAGACATCACATCTGGTGTAAATGAGCCTTTTTATATATGTACATTGTGTGTTTACATGTATACATACATACAGTATACATATACATTTAGAATATTTCAGACAGTATATGAGGGTATAGGTAGGGCTGCATGTACCGTAGTGGCACTAGTGGGAAAGTGCCTAGGACAGCAGTATAATGGGGGCATCAACAAGCCTCAACATGTTCAAACATAACAAAAAAGTTTTTCATTATGTTGATTTCTTCTACCCACCTCTGGAGATGTGTGGCTAAATTCAGCAAAACAAAGGAAGAGGAAGGATGCCTGGGGAATATTGAGATGAGCTGGAAACTTTACTTGCTCAGGAAATCTAAAAAGAAAACTCCCCATTTTCTTGTTTGGTTGTCTAAAAAAGCTCTGCATAATAAACACACAGCATGATGTCTCCAACACACCATTCTAGTAGAAACCTTTAGCAAAACAATAACATGAATGGGGCAGAGCTTGCACAAAGGGACCTTAGCATTTAGATCAGGGTTCTCCAAACTTTATAAAGGAAGGACCAGTTTACTGTCCTTCAGACTTTAGGGGGGCAGGACTGTGGCCAGTGGGAGAAGAAAATGTTCTGGCATCAGTGGGAGTAAACAATGCCTCATCATTGGTATTAATGGGAAATATAGTGCCCCATTACTGATATCAAGGGAGGAATAGTTTCCATTGTCGGTGTCAGTGGGAGGAATAGTGTCCCATTGTTGGCATCAGTGGGAGGAATAGTGCTCCATCATTGGTGTCAGTGGGAGGAACAGTGCTCCATCATTGGTGTCAGTGGGAGGAATAGTGCCCCATCATTGGTGTCAGCGGGAGGAATAGTGCTCCATCATTGGTGTCAGCGGGAGGAATAGTGCTCCATCATTGGTGTCAGTGGGAGGAATAGTGCTCCATCATTGGTGTCAGTGGGAGGAATAGTGCCCCATCATTGGTGTCAGTAGGAGGAATAGTGCTCTATCATTGTTTTCAGTGGGAGGCATAATGCCCTATTATTGGTGTCAGTGGAAGGAATAGTGCCCCATCACTGGTGTCAGTTGGAGGAATAGTGCCCTATCATTAGTGTTAGAAGGAGGAATAGTGCCCTATCATTAGTGTTAGAAGGAGGAATAGTGCCCTATCATTGGTGTTAGTGGGAGAAATAATGCCCCATTATTGGTGTCAGTGGAAGGAAGTGTGCCCCATTGTTGGCATCAGTGGCTGGAACTATGTACCACTGTTGCTGATGGTGGGGGCAATAATGCCCCAAGGGTCGGATAAAAGCAAGCAAAGGGCCACATTTGGCCTGGGCTGCAGTTTGGAGACCACTGGTTTAGATCATGATATAAAAAAAAATTGCTGTGGCTGCAGGATGTGCAGTACAAGTGTCATTAGGCACCGATTGTGGGGTGGAGAGATTTAACTGTTCCTGCTTCCTTTTTATTGCTTTTAGGGTGGAGACTTTCAGTGGATCCAGCTTTAGCTTTTACTTCTTTTAGGGTGGAGATTTTCAGTTGGTCCTGTTTAGTGGCTACCTAGACCGGACGTAAGCTAAAGCCTAACTTTTTAGTTCCATTTTTTTTAATCAGCACAGAGGCTGCTCTTATAGTTGCAAGATGTTGTCCCCCCCCCCCCCCCCCCATACCGCTGTAGCAGTAATCTACCAATGGTGCAGGGGTTAACATGAGCCACTGGACCTGTCATAGGCAAGAGTGCTGACTTAATCTGCCCTTCCCTCCCTTCCTCCATTCAAAACATCCACCAGCACAAGAGACACTTCTCAAGTACCAACCCTTGTGCTGATTAAAAAAAAATCAAAATAACTAAAGTTTAAGGCATCATTGATGTTTTTTTTAATCCCCTAGAAATCTTCTCCTGGCAGTAGCGTCTTGGCCAAACAAATTCCTTACTCTTGTAAAAGTGTAATAATGCGCTTATACATGTTTACATGCGTCAAGCATTCATATGGCTGAATAAATAATTTATTACGCTCATTGAAATAAGTTAAACACTCAATCACTATAGGCACCTAGTGTTTAGGCGCCTTTAAATGCAGTTATGTGTGTTTACACGCATTTAAGCGTATCAATACATTTTTTCTGAAAGATCGCTGCTGCTCTAGGATGCACTGGCAATGTTTTTTTTTCTGCCACAAAACACTGTCAAAAGCTTATGTGTGCATCGTCGTAGGATAACATGCAGAGACAGTGAAAGAAAAACGTACAATGTGCATGAGGCCTAAAACATCCACAAGGTTACACTGAGACAAAAGCTTGTACATCCAAAAGGACTAAAGCAGGGTATGCATAGACCGACTTTTGGGGCAGGAATCGACCGACTTTTGGTCCATGTCTACTGCTGATTGTTCAATAGAAGCCAGTCTAATGGCTCATGCTGGAAAACCAGCATTTGATCAGTGCTTTCAGCCAATGGCTGCTGCGCTGATCACTGTATTCTGAATGGGGGGGGGGGGTGCTGTCAGTATACAGTAGCTCAGCTGGAGAGATCTTTGCATCACACATTGTTTGTGTTGATGCAGGGATCTGTCAGTTTTTTTTTTCACTCAGCCTGCTGGCCCCTAGTTTGTTATATCCCAGTGATGTCAAGTAGCAGCAAGATTGCCATTAGTCCTTCATGCTTTGCCTAATTATGGGCAGCACAGTGGCTAAATGGTTAGCACTTCTGCCTGGCAGTACTAGGGTCATTGGTTTGAATCCAGCCACGGCACCACCTGCCTGGAGTTTGCATGTTCTCCCTGTGCCTGCGTGAGTTTCCTCCAGGTACTCCGGTTTCCTCCCACAATCTAAAGACATGCTGGTAGGTTAATTGGATCCTGTCTAAATTGGCCCTAGTATGTGTATGTATGAATGTAAGTTAGGGACCTTAGATTGTATGCCCCTTGAGGGTTAGGAACTGATGTGAATGTACAATATATATATATGTAAAGTGCTGTGTAAAATGACGCTGCTATATAAGTACCTTAAATAAATACATAAAAATTAGCATTAACAAATGTGGGATGCTACTCTAATTTCTGCTTGACTCCATTTGGACTGGAAATTAATTAGCTGTTCACTGTTTGACACAACTTCCGTGTTTTAGATCTACCATATCTCTTTGTACACATTGAACTGTTTAACATAAATGGGAGTACCACTATTGCTCTTGCACAGGGGCTATTTGGTGAATATGTTCATTATTGCCCCCAAAGTATGCACAGACCAACAAACATTTTCTTTAAAATGATTGCCATTAGTTCTATTTCAAAATGAAAGATGCAAAATTAGAGTAGAAATTTAAGCCTTGTTAAAGTCACCGCGGCCGCCACATTATACGCGCTCTCCTCACCCGGCGATCTCCGTGATTGTGTTTAACATTTTCGATACTAAGTGTCAACATAGTGCCGGTTCTTATATGCTGCTTCTCGGTGCATTTTTGAAAAGTTGCTATTCAGGCAATTTTACTTGGTCTCTGATCAGCGCTGAAAGCTGAAAATTGGCCTGGTAAGGAAGGGGGTATAAGTGCCTGGTAGGCAAGTGGTTAAAGTGACATTATACCCTCATTTTTTAACACTTTCTACTAAGTGTAACATATTATATGCTGCTTCTGCATTTTTGAAAAGTTGCTATTCAGGCAATTTTACTTGGTCTCTGATCGCTTGCCCCACATTCTAGTTTATGGGTGGCTCCTTGGTTTCAGAGTGCAACAGAGTCTTGCTGAAGCCACCCTTTGATGCGCTTGCCAGGGAGAGGAATACAAGCTTGCACGATGACTCTGCCTGTGCCCACACACACAGGCAACCCGAGTAGACAACACACGGGAGACATGCCTTCTGTTCTTCCTTAAAGGGAAGTTATTGGCAGCAGCTCCCAAGGCAGCCTCTGGTTTTTTCTGTCAACTATTGCTTTGGAGGAGGTGTGCCTTGAGTGTGTTGTCTTCTTGAACTGCCTGTGCATGTTGGTGCAGGAAACATCCTTACATTGGCCACTTGTAATGTGCTCCTTTAAATTGATTATTAATCATTAACCACTTCTAGTTCAGACACTTTCACCCCCTTCCTGTCCAGGCCAATTTTAAGCTTTCAGTGCTATCACACTTTAAATGACAATTGCGCAGTCATACAACACTGTACTCATATGCATTTTTAGCATTTTTTTGAGACAAATAAAGCTTTATTTTGGTGGTACTTATTCACCACTGGGATTTTTATTTTTTTTTGCTATATAAATGAAAAAGTCCAAAACTTTTTTAAAAAAGTGTTTTTCTTATAAAATTTTGCAAATAAATATTTCATCCTAAATCTTGGCCAAAATGTATTTATTCAGTTATCTGTTTAGTAAAAAAAAAAAAAATAACCCAAATTAGTTTATAACCAAAAAGTATGCATTTTTACACTTTTACTTTATTTTTTTATACTATTTGTGTTTTTTTTTTTTACATACTGTCACCTAGCAGTACAGTGTCACCAGTACACTGTACTACTTGTGGGGGGTGATGAAGATTTTTTTTTTTTTTACACTGATCGCTTTTACAGCTTTTATCGGTGTAAAAACAATAATTTCTCTTTCTCTCTGGCTGCATTCTTGCAGCCATTGAGAAATACTGTGTAAGATGTGATTGGTCTCAGCTTGTCACATGGTACAAGGCTGTTGTGAATAGCCTTGCACCATGTGACCTCTGTGATCATTCACAGATTTCACACGTAGTAAGCATCTTGCTTACTACTCTGCTTGTGATCACTGATTGGCCAATCAGTGATCACATGATCGGTACCTCGCACAGAGGTCCCATACAATGATCGGAAGGCACAGCGGGCATCGGATCGCGGTGCTGCGCGCTCTCAGGGAGCTCGCACAGTCCAAAATGGAGGGCGCCGTTTATGAACGGCATACGACATACACATTAAAATGGTTTTCTACTTTTATCGTTGGTCAGTGAACATTATATGATGGGTGCAGATATTTCTTGGCCAGGGGCGAACTGAGAAACTCTTGGGGCACCTGGGCAATAGGGGATCATGGGGCCCCTGTGTCCTTGCCCAAAACAAAAAGCCTATGAAAAAGGTACCAGGGTCATCTCATGGGGCCCCCTACTGACCCCGGGCCCTCGGGCAGTGCCCGAGTTTCCAAATGGTCAGTCCGCCCCTGTTCTTAGCTGAACAGTTTGGCTGAAAGGATTAACTGCCAAGGTTACAGTACATTGTCGTGGTGGAATGTGAACTTTTCCCCTACCATAAGGCTCGCAAAGGGTGGGGGGGTCTTCATGTTGTATAAATATATAAACTTTGCAAATCTTTATCATGTTTGTTTGTGTATTGAACGTTGTCTATTGTCTATGAACGTCGTAAGAATTTTGTTTATGAATGTCTTAAGAATGAAATAGAAAAAATCAGCAATTTATTTTTTTTTTAGATGTAATGAAGCTTGTACATATTGTACTGAATATCTAAAGTGTGCAATTACATCCAAGGGAATACAGAAAAATAAAAAAAGGAAAATTGCCCTTACCATTAAATATCACATCTCACATCAAATGGTGCAGTGCAAAGCAAAGTCACTTAACACCAACTCCTCCCCCTCCCAGTGAAATATCTGGTACTTCTGGGTATGGGTGTAACCTTGTGATTGGCCCATTGCTGTCACATGCGGTCAAGGCAGGACTCTAAAGTCCTGTGTAAGCTTGGGCAAGTCAGTTTGGAGCTTACGCAGAGCTTTCTTTCCCTGATCTTGGTGGCTGAATGGAAGGACTCTGCTTGAGGATCACTGTACTTACCTAATGTATTAAGCCCAATAAGCATTCAATTTGCATAGTGAACAGTCACTACTCGTTTAGGAAATCTGACCCATTGGGTAGGGACTTTGTTGACTTTGGAAAGTGAATGTTATCTAAGCAAATGAAGTGAGATAAATCATTCAAAAGTAATTTTTCGTAATTTTCCATGTACATAATTGGAAGTCAGCTGACTTACCAAGCTTTACCACATGATTACCTTTGCCTAGTTAACAGTGTCTCCTTTAGTAAATCCATCAACAGCACAAAAAAAATAAATTTTTTAAAATGTTCCTTCTATGTGAATGGATATTCACACCGAACATCACTTCACCTTATTCACAAAGTGAACGTATAACTTTTAAGTGAGCATTAACACTAATTTAGTAAATCTGACCTATTGTGCACATATTTCCAATACACCAATAAATGTACAGATCAACTACTTTTTTATCACTCCTTATGAGAAAGGTAGATAAAGTACTGCATCCCCCACATAGTACCTACATGAAGTGATTTAATGCTGGTTGTGCCATTACTGCAACAAATAGAATTGCAGAAATGTAATTGTTGATCGGTTTGCCCATTTCTACATATTATCTGCTTGTAAAGTGAAAGTGTCTTAGTACCAGAATTGCAGCAATGTAATTGTGGATCAGTTTGCCCATCTGTACATATTATCTGCTTGTAAAGTCAAAGTGCCCTAGTAATGGATTACACAGCAAGGATAAAAGCAGAATCCCTGCACAGTCCCACTCACTGCTGACCTGGGGTTACAATGCAGGAAAATACAAGTTAGAAAGTATCCTTATGCCCATGAAAGCCAGGGATGCCATCTGTCATTTTAGAACATCAAAAAAATGAAAGTAATTTGTAATTTTCCAGGAGACAGTTTTTCTTCTATTGTAATACCTTTATATTATATATGATGATGATGACGATGATTATTAATGTATTTTTTGTGCTTTTGCTATAAATTTGATTATTTCAAAATAACTTCTGATCTATTAGAACTATTCTGGTCTTTAATTGATCTCTGATGTCTTTGAAGTTTACAGTTCAGCTGCTTCTCTAACAATTCCATACACACTTTACATTTGTTGCTGAGAGATGTTGGAATTTGTACCATGAAGTAAGTAATTAGATAAATACATGATTTTCAGAAATCATCATCTTCAAATAATGTCTTCTTTCTGGTGGTTCCGATTTTGTAGACTAATGTATTATGCAGAGAAAGTATTGGTTTACAAGGTTGTTACTGTTCAGATATTTGCTAATAAAGGAATGGAAGCCTCTTCGTGATGAACAAAATACTGCATATCAAAACGCATTCACTGCAAGAAACCATGATGGTCTGAAAGAGACCTTTTAATATTCTGCAAATTTAATTTCCGTGTATGTGTTGTAAGTTTATATGTACACAGGGAGAATAAACAGTGTTTGCTCATTACCAGTGCAGACTCTGCTTCCTACTTTACCCTGCTGTACAATGTTTGCTCTGCTCCCTCTTAAGCCCCGTATACACGATCAGAATATCGGACGAATGATCGTCCGAGTTTTTTTGCATGCTAATCTCATATCAAAAGTGAAGAGGTTACTAAACCTATGAAAATTATTTAACAACAGAATAAAAATTCTGAACAATGTAATGTATTTGTATTGTATTTTAGGACAACTGCTGTACTGGTTAAAACGAAAATGGTACGATCCGGTATCGTACGATAAAAATTTTCGTGCTTGTCCCTTCTATTTTTTTTTTGAACGGTTGATGTGTACTAACGATTAGAGTATCATACACTTACTTTAGCAGCACTTTTCGTATGATATTATCGTGGATACGAGGTGTAACAGTGAACAAAATCTATGGCATTGATTTACTAAAGAAAGCAAACAAAAAAATAGAGCAGGGACACGTGTGCACAAATATTCACCTACATGAACCTATCTAGCTGATTGTACAGTGATGTTTAATATGTCCCATTTTGCTGTGCACAACAATCAAATAATGGCATTACACTTTCTGTTTCTAAAGCTGAACCACAGAATGCACACACAAAAAATATTTAGAAAAGAAACCTGAAACAAATAATATGACTGGCCTACTAAGCAAACCCTCTAAAAACAATGCTCTCCCAATGTAGTTGATATCCTATCTAAATAGTGGTTAAGAAGGGACAGTATAATTACTATGAAATACAGGTAATTTCTATTTCTAAATTTCTATAACTAAAACGGTATATTTAAATACAATAGAACACATATGGAAAGATGCGCTTGCATGTGGCTGAAAATAGACTAACACTTTTCACTTTAACAGTGGATGTTTCTTGGCTTCAACAAAGTAGTAAAAGAAATAAGCCCACAGAAAAATACATGTTAAGCCGGCCATACATAGACCAAAATTTGGCCACTTCAGCAGGGACCAGCTGAATTTTGATACATGTATGGGCAGTCTAGTTGTACTGAAGTCGATCGACCTCTGTACAACCACCCTGTCAGGTTTTTCCCAATTGATCACTGCTGCTGGCTATAGCCATGAATAATGTATGGGCTACCTTGGCAGTCCACCTGTTCTTCACTTTTCAGACCTTTGATTGTTATACCCAGATACATTCATTATTAATCACCTCAATACTGGGCATTTTCATCCTCTTCCTGCCCAGGAAATTTTCAGCTTGCAGCACTGTCCCACTTTGAATGATAAATACCCAGTCATGCAACACTTTTCCCATATGAAACTGTTATTTTTTTTCAGACAGATAGAGCTTTCTTTTGGTGGTATTTAATCACCACTAGGGTTTTTATCTTTTTGCGCTATAAAAGGAAAAAAAACTGCACATTTTGAAAAAAGAATGTTTTTCTTATTTCTTGTTATACAGTATTGCAAACAAGTCATTTTTCTTCATATATTTTAATCAAAATTCATACTGCTACATTTCTTTGGTAAAAAATAACCCAAATCAGTGTATATTATTTGGTCTGTGTGAACATTATAGCGTCTACAAGCTATGGAACCAATCTTTGAAAATGTATCACACCTGATGTACTGACAGCCTGTCTCATTTCTTGAGTCCCTTGCCAGGACAGTACAAATACCTCCCAAATGACCCCTTTTTGGAAAGTAGATAGCCTAAGGTATTTAGCAAGAGGCATGGCAAGTTTTTCAAGTTGTAATTTTTTTCCACAATTCTTTGAAAAATGAACACATTAAATCAAATTAGTTTTTTTTTTCCATAAAAATGTCATATTACAGTTATTTCTCACACATGGCATAGGCATACTTGCAACTACATCCCAAAACACATTATGCTACTCCTGATGAGTATGGCGATGCCACATGTGTGAGATTTTGTCACAGCCCAGCCACAAAGAGAGGCCCCACATCCAAAGAGAACCTTCAGGCGTTATCCACTTTAAAACCAGGCTGCCTTCTGACACTTTGTTTACAAGTAAAAAATCAGTATTTTGCTAGAACTTAGAACTCCCAGACATTATATATTTTTAATCAGGGGCCCTAGAGAATAAAATGGTGGGTTTTGCAAATTTTTATGTCACATGGTATTTGACCACTTTTTTCCGAAAGCAATTTTACACACTAAAGCAAAAAAACACTTTAATATATATATATTAATGCACAATATAATTCCCAATTTTTGGTAAAACATAAAATATGGTGTTGGGCCAAGTAAATAGATACCAGATATATCATGGTTTAAAACTGAGTAAGCTTGTGAACTGGTGCCAAACGTCAGTATTTAAAAATCTCCATGGGCGACGCTTTATAAGCCTTTACAGGTCACCAATTTAGGGGTACAGAGGATTTCTGGTTCTAGAAATATTGCTTTCACTTTCACGTTTGCAGCAATACCTCTCATGTGTGCCATTTACGTATGCATACGGGACCAACGCATGCATTAGCTTTGGCTCACGAGCAAATGGGGGGGGGGGTGCTTTATTTTTTTTTTTTTTTGGTGGGACACTGGTTCACTGACAGATGTTTTTGTGCTCTTGTACTCTGTGACAGATGTTGATCTTCCACCAGCAGACACAGACAGATGTTGATGTTGCAATGGAACACTATTGCAGATGTTTTTGTGCACTGGTACACTGTTATAGATGTTGATGTTCTGTGCCGGATGTTTTGTACTCTGGTGTTGATGTGACACTGGCACAGATGTTGATGTGACACTTGGACAGGGAGAGATGGTGCTTGGTGTACTTTGTATAGCTGAACATTAAAATAATCAGCTATACAGAGAGCTCAGCGGGAAGCTCTGACACAACCATCACGTGATAGGGAGGGCCAATCACAGCGCCCATGTCATAATCAGTGATGTGCTGTGTCCGAGGGAAACGGCCATCACAGGATCGCTCTGCTGCATGGCCCTTGT